TGGTTTTACTATTTGTTTTGTTGTCTTAGGTAAGTCACTTTTTGCTTATGCCTTTGAGAGTTAGCCTGTTACTTTAGGCTTCATATTAACAGATCCAGATCCAGAGATTTTCAAATCTTAGAATGGTTCAAAAGCAACACATTCTGTTTAGTGGGATTTGTCAGCTTCTACTGAGCAGTTTCAATTTCAAAAGGCAGATCCTTATATCTGTTCATAAAAAAGATAATTTAGACAGAGCTGTAAGTGTTATGTTAAAATAAAATGTTAGATGGGCCAGGTACAGAAACCCAGGTAGAGAAACTAGGGTATAGTAACTCACCATGGCAGGAAGGCCTGGATGCCTAATAAGAGGTGAAACTGGGAAAACAAAAACCTTGTCCCCCAGGTAATCTATCCTCCCCTAGCACATGTAGTTTAGATCCTCTGAGCATTCCTCCCTGAAGATAACATCTAGGCCTCAGTTGTACTTCAGCTCCAGGCCCATAAAAGCAGCAAAACCTGACAAGTAGCTCCATGGCTGCCTCAGGATTAGATACATTGACTAATGACCCCTTGCCCTGGCACCTCACTGACCAATCAGTGGAGACCAGGACCCTGAAAGAACACACCTAAAAAGCTGATGAATATTCTATTAAGATGCTCCCATGAGACTTCCCCTAAGATTCTTGTTTTCAGAAAGAGATAAATATGCTCAGGACAAAGAACCCAGTGAAAACTCCCCACTAGAGGAGCACGCCAGAGCCATCTCCATCTCTCCAAGGGGACCCCACAAGACTTGCAAGCAAGGGAGCAATGGGTAGTGGCAGCTCACCCTGAGCTTACTCCCTGAACCTGTCTCCAAGGCCCCCTTCTCTTAACCATGAGCCAAACAGCCCAGCTTAGGTTCTTCTTATATGCACTTTCTTATTTCATTCTCCCAAGTATATTTTTGCTGCCATCATGGACCCAATACCATTTGACTCAGTGCTGTGTAGCCCTTCCCTTCGGATATCCCCATCTCTTTTTAATAAATTTAATTTTTCTTTATTCACCTGAGATGGCTATTTAGCCTGCCTGTGTACCACCCACTGTTAACTTTCAAATGTGACTACTTTTATCAGTCCAAAAATGATCAGAACTAATGGAAGAATTACTGTCTGTGTGGTTTTGGGCAAGTCCTTAACCTTTTTGAACCTGATTTTTCTTAAGTATAAAACGGGAGTTGTGAAGATTAAGCAAATATATATAGGTAAAGTACTTAGAAGGATGACTGGCATATACTAATGCTCAAGCAGTTTTCTATTGCCATTATTATTATTGCTACCTTGACATTTTTCTTACCTATACCAAACATTCAAGGCTTCTGGGCACTTTACTAATCTCTTTGATTGAAATGTTCATTTTCTCTAACTACCAACCTCGCCTATAGCAATGGAAACTTGCTATTATCTAAATCTTTTCAGTTAGTGAGCAGAAAATTTCAGTTGCTAGAGAAGCAAGTAACAGGTAATGGTGCTCCAGCTTGAGGTATGTGCTAAAAGTCTTCCAGGGTCTGTGCTTTAAAAATGTTTTTTACCCTTTCAGAGATGTAGTGTCCAGTGTTATGAAGTGGCTTGGAACTTGAACTAGTGGTCCTTTCCTCCTATTGGAACAGAAGAAGACTGTACTAAAAAAAGAAAAACTGTAGAATTCAAGGTCTCAGTGTTTTTGTTTGTTTGTTTGTTTTCTGAAAAGCCTCAGTGCATCTGATAATTAATGCAAAATAAGTAATTAAATGGCTTTCTTTCTTAGAACACTTCTCAGGTTTATATAGGCACTGCATTCATTTAATAATATGTGTTACCAAAACTCTTAGTTTTACCCTAAGCTATAAGCATAGTTAAAATCCTTTGGTAACATTTGTACTCTTTCTAAGGAAACTAGCATAATCCTGAGCCTTTGGCACTTGGGGTGAATTCACCCAGGCTTTTGTTATTGCTGGCAGAAAGAAAAATTGATTTAGGTTTGGAGTGTGAAGGTGTGAAGCATCTGACTATTCTTATTCAGGTATGTAAATTCCCTGTAGGAAGTTAGTCATATGTCAGTTGTTTTCTTTTCAAACAAATAAAAATGAAATGCATACTCCCCCAGATAGTTCTGTATGCACTTTTTCAGGTACATATTCATTTTCCCTTCAGTAAGAAAGACATCAGAAACTTAATGAAGGCTATTTTTATAGAACGTTTTGAGTTAAGTTTTGTAGCTATTAACTAGCAGCTTGGAGAACACACTGGAAAAGCTTTCATTTTCTCCCTTCCACCTTACAAATATCAGAGCAGACAAAACTAGAATGTTTACATCAAAGAGTGAAGTGAGGGCAAAAAGGGATGGTAGTGAGTAGTAAGATTCAGTACTTTCTTGTTCATGGGACTTTTTTTCTTTATTTTTATGTATTCTGTTCTAAAATAACGACTTGATGTATATTTGTTTGTAAATGGATTAAATGGCATATGTTTTTAGTTGAGAATTTTTAAAAAGGGACACTGCTACTTTATTTAGACAAGAAAGTCAAGGAGAAAAGGTTTTGTGAACACTACTAATACTAATTTTGTAGTAAGCAGATATGAACCCTATCTTCTTGGAGTTTACAGTTTGGAGAAACTGACAATCAAATTATCACGCAAATAAAAAATTACATAACAGTATATAAAATTATACCTGTGATAATGTATTGAAGGAAAGGTCCATGATGCGATATGAACATATAATAAGTGCTATGACCTAAAGTAGGGGTTAAGGAAGGGCTATTGGGATAATTTTTGCAGGAAGAGTAAGAATTAATTTGGTGAAGCAAAGGCTAGGGAAGGGAAGAGTGCTCCAGGCATAGGGAATAGCATGTGAAAATGGCCATGGTGTGAGGGACCATGTTTCATTTTAGGAATATGAAAGTAGGTCAGCAAGGCTGGAGCTCAGATAAAGGAAGAATGAAGCTAAAAGGGCATGTGATCCAGTGATATGGTAAAAGACCTGGGAGTCATTTGTGAGATTAATCAGAAAAGTAGTTGAGTACCTTAGGGAGAAATTAAGGCAGATGAATTGGAAGACTGAGAGATATTAACCCAAAGAGGAGAATGATAGTGAGCTGGTCATACACACAAATAGATAGTGACCATGACTATAGATTGACTTCAGTCACTATAGTGCATTGAATTGCAACAACTGAGTACTCCCCACCAAAGCTTTTCTCCTTACCTTTTTCTTCCCCCCCCCCAAACCAGCTTCCTTCTCACCTTGTCTCACTTCACACCTCCTGCATTTGATCACTTGGATCTGGCCACCTGGGAAAATTTCCTCTTCTTTTCTTGGCTTATTTAAATACTAATCACCATCAAGGTCCAGCTGAAATCCCATCTACTCTGGGAAGCCCTCCCTTGTCCATGGAATTTTATTGCCATCCTCTGATCCATTACAAAATTTACTCTCCATATAATTCCTTTAGTATTTTTTCAAAATTTGCCTTTGGTATCTCACTCTTTCACGTGTCTTATGACTCCAGCTAGACTGTGAGGCACTGCAGGGCAGTGACTTCTCTTTTTCTTATAGATTGATAAATGCACCCAGGGCTAGTCCTGGTCTAGAGTGGGTAAATGATCATTTTGTGGAAATACGTTCTGTATCAGCAACTGAAATGTATAGACACACCTGAGGTAAGTGGAGAGGTGACAGAACAGAGACTGGGGTTGGGGGAATGGGGAGGCAACAGAGAAAGTACTTTTCAGAATCAGTCACAAGTAATAAAGCTAGTATTAGCTTCACACTCCCTTGTTTACTGGCTTTGACTGGTCGTGAGAACAGCCACAATAAAGCTGAAGAATGAGGGAGAATAAAGAAACATGAAGCATGTTTTATTTGGGAAGCAGCTTAATTACACAGACTTAAATTCTGAAGCAGGCAGAGGATTCCCCAATTCTCCAGGGCCATAGCTCAGTTCAGAGAAAGAAAGTGTCTTCTCCCTGGCCTAAGAATTTCATTCTAGAGAAAGGAGAAGGATTGTTGGTGATGTTGATGTTGTCAGTGAGTGGAGGTAAAGAAGAGAGGATTGGGGGGACTGGCAGAGGGGAAAGGCTAGCAATAAAGTTACAGATAGATGAGTAAATTTCTGCAACAAATTCATATCAGAGAAAGGGAGGGAAGGAGGAAAAATAGGGAGGAAATAAAAGCAGTGTGGTTAACCAAGACAGTCAACATATAGGAAAATAATTTGCCCATGGGGGAGGAGGTATACAGTTGAAGATAATCCCCATTATAAACAGATTGCATCTGTACTATTTATTCTGGTTTTGAGCAAACCTTTGAAAATTTAATGGTAATTAGACTTCCTGACAGGCAGTTATTTAAGAGAAGTGCAGACCCTCCTTTTGCCACAGAGTACTCCCTAGTTCATTGGAGGTTGGTATTAGGGTTCTGAGATTCCCCCCTCCCCCATCTCCGTCTGAGTGCACTTAACTGGTTTAAGTGAATATAGTATTGAGTTGCATTTTTTTGTAGTGGTGTGAGGTTTAATTCTACATAGTATAATAGGAATGTATTTATGGCAGCGCTCACTTTTGCCTTTCCCTGCACCCTAATTATTATTATCAATATCGTTGTAATTATTTAAACATATTTGAGTAAACAGGGGCTGCTCATAATTTCCTCCTCCAGATTTGGTGGTTTGTCTCTTTCTCCTCTTTAGAATTGTAGAGGGGTAGCAATCCTGCAGCAAAGACAGGCACACAAGTTTACTCTGTGGATTAACTGGTTAAGAAAGACACTTTTTATATTGTCAAGTAGCACTTAAACTGCTAATTCTTGACGATGAAAACTACTTTTCCTGGGCAATGCTCTTTAAGGAAAAACTTCAGTCCAGGGATTGGTGACTAAGGGAACGATGGAGCACAGGGGATTGGGCGGTGTCTCGGCTTCCAATAATGCCTCCTTATCCAATGAAAAGCATTTCCTATTGAGACCCCCAGAAGTTCCCCGGGCCCTCAGTTTCGGCCGGGAGTTTGGGCCTTTTCTTGTGTCCTGTTTGTTAAAGGCATGCCTGCTACAGCATTCAAGAGAGCCATTTCTTAACAAAGGGAAAGAGATAGATGTAAATAAGCTCACGTTTTCAGAATGAGCGGTTTGTTGTAAGAAGCTGCGGCAGCCCAGAGTCTGCTACTTTGGGCTGGGCTAACCTTTCCCTGTAAAAAAAAAAAAAATAATGGATTAAAATATGCACTTTTAAAGTGCGAGTTGCCCGTTCACATGTTTATTAGCTAATTTTCTACCTGCATGAGCACACTGTCTCATCTAGCACACTCTTTCTTGGGGTAAGTCTCTTTGAGAAAGATTTGATTTGGGTGTTTGTGGATGGGGGGGTGTGGGAGTGTGGGCGGCGTAACAGACTTCAGTGGAAAAGCTTTGAGTGTTTGGCGAAAGAAGTTAGATTTCAGCTTTAAAGTGCTAAACAGATCGTCGTGTGGAATGGTGAAAAAAAAAAGCAAGAATTTATGTTGTTTTGGCAATGATATTGTTTCAGTGGAAAAGATACAGGATTTTCAGGTGGTTGTTTTATGTAAACATTTGTGCTAGAGAGCCGAGTTAAAATCACAGAGTGGAGTTTAGAAATTCTTTGGCCAGCTTTATATTTCTTTGGTTTACAATTAATTGTGAGCTAATGTGGCTCCTATTATGGCGGTTTCTTCTAGGAAAACTATATGGGGCATGCTTTGATGCTTAATTGATTTATGGAGATTGTGACATTTGCTATATTGAATAATTCATGAACTTAACTATAAAGGAAGAAACAATTCAATAAAAAACTAATTCTGGCATAAATTGAATTTGCTATTATATGTGAAATTAATTGCTGTTTTTCATACAAATGTAATAATGTGACATTTAAAATTCTCTTCTTGCATAACCTGAATATTTTTGCAACTTTTAGCAACAAGATCTTGTTGAATTGATAAATATTGTATTTTAGTTACTTTGTTTTAGGAAATATAATAATGTAATTCATCATTATTCAGCATGGACAAAAGCAGACAAATCCAAATCTTAGAACATTTCAGAGGTTGTTTGGATTATTCATTTTGCTACATTACCAAATGATACCGTCTTTCTTTTTCCTTGACTAACATGAAGACAACAATAATAACTGAAGCTCCAAATTATTCAGTGGCTTTGAAACATGTTTATTTTTCAGAACAAAATTCTAAACAACATATCCTATCAACACAGATTTTTAAATCCTTTTTCCTTGTCACAGATGAAAAGTTTACTCCTGCTAAAAAGGATGAGTTCAGCTGATAAACTTGATGGCGTCTACACTCTAGAGCATCTCCTGCCAATCAGAGATGCGAATGAAAGCCCTATTGGAACAATCAGACCAGCCTTTCAGAATGTGTACTCTCTGTAAGTTAAAGAGAGACTGGGATGATGGCCTAACAGCAACACTTAGGCCAAGCTTAGCTAGAGCTTCATTTATTCAATTCCCATTGAGAGAAAATGCAGTGAGAATTGTTGCCCTTGCTGTGGTGTGGTCAGGGCTTAATTGTGTAGTTGCCTTTTTTCTGTGTGTATGGTCATCATGTATTAGTCTGCTCTTGGCCTTCTTAATCCAGAAGAAAAAAAACACACACACCTATAATGTATTTGTGAATATTAGTACTGAAAATTGGGAGCTTAATATGAAGTTACCTACCACTGGGAATCCAGCCTTATTTTTAGTAGATAAGTAATTTTATCAGAACAATGCATAGGATAACTATTCTACTGATTTATATAGTTATGTTTTATATAGTTATGAAATATTTTGATAACCTTATATTTTGAGGAAAGAGGCGACTAGGTGACCAGAGAACAGGTAGCAAAGGTTGAGGATTAAACCTAGACAGTTAAAGCTCACGTGCTTACTGATATGGGCATAAAGACAGCATATGAGAAAAATGAGGGCATTAGGAAGACTTCTTGGTCTGTGATTCTCAACTTCTGGCACTAATTAATAGTTTTTATTTCTGATATTAAAGTTTTCTAAACTATATATGTTGACAGACATTTTGGTGTTCATTTTGCAATAAATACAAATATCAAATTATTATGTTGTACACATAAGACTAATATAATGTATGCTAATTATACCTCAATTAAAATAAATAAAATAAATCTAACAATAATTTCATTGAGTCTATTAAAAATTAATTCCCCTTACCTCACACTTTGAGGGATTCATTTTTTTTTTTTTTTGCAATGACAAATGGGAACAGGTGAAAACAACTGACTGAAGGGGTCAGTGAGGCCATGCCATAGCATCAGTTGAAGGTTGCTGTCAATTAAGGCAAAAGGTGGAAGGAGACAATGAATTAAGGTCCAAAAAAGGATTGTGACTTGCTCTCACACAGTTAGCTAGTGATGGGGCTGGATGTGTCTTTATTGAATTAATAACAGTTATGAAAACTTCTGGGTATTTGAAATTCCAAGTTTGCTTAGATTTCAAATAGTTTTCTTTATAATCTGTATCAATTGTGAAAGCCATAAAAGAAAGAAATGTTAAAGTTTCTGTCTTGCTTTAAGATAAACCAGTAAAATAATATTCATTTCATTCCAGGAATACTGCTCTCTGGAGGAGTGTGAAAATAAATTCTCCTTAATATTAAGGTGATCTCAAATATATTTTAAATTGTCTAATGATTTTATTATGTTTATTTTGGTTCTCTTAGATTAGAAAAAATATTTCAAGCGAGTTGAAGTATTATTTAGCAGTCTGCTTTGTTTAAGCCACCTTTGTTCAGAAGAGGGTGAGATGTGACAATAGTTTAAGTTTGGCACTAGCAGATGACTACTTTCTAGGCAGCAAATGAGTAGGGTTCAAATGTAGGTGCTACTTGTAAGAATTTTATTGCCAACTATTTCTGGTTCTGTACAAGTATTTTGTGTAGAGTTGTGATTTGAAAATGTTATAGATATGCTATCTCGGTTAGGTCCAGTGCATCCTAGTAGAGGCAGCAGTGACTGTCAGTGTGCTAATACCCAGTAATTGAAACCTAGCTCATATCACTATAGTTCAGGGGAGAAATAAATTTAACTGGTGTGCGAGTGCTGGTTGGAGACAAGACAGTGAGGTCTCCACTTGTTGTTCCAGTCTTCTTTCCTCTTCCCTTATCAAAGCTCTTGCCAAATAGTAACAGTTGTTGTCAGGGAAAAAGAAAATAAATAAAAAGAAAGAACAAAGAACCAACGTAACTTCAGGCCATAAAAGTCTCCTCTGTTCAGTTATTTTTAATTCAATGTATTACCTTATGGAAGTTGAGGAAGTATTTTTATGCCTTTTGTCATTAGTTATCTTTAAACAATTATAGGTTACACAGACTCATAGATTTTTTGCTTGTCAATATAACTAATAAAATATGGCACAGTAGTAACAGATTTTGAAAATAAAATGTTATCTGATATTCTGTAATAATGAAATCCAAAGCATTCAGATATCATTATAAAATATGTTGGCTCTCATTTACTTTGATTTATATCATATAATCCTTTTTTACCCTATGATCTTGACATGCATTTTATTGGAAAGCTCTTTCAATGTCACACTTTTGTGACTAATTCTTTTCACAGCATCCATTGGAGGAAATTCATAACCATAGTGCCTCCAGGAAGTTCATTGATCACCCAAGTCTCAGATAAAATTGGTGCCAGAATTTGGTTTGAACTAATGTGGTGAGTACCAATCTCCTGATAATAGCTTTCTCCATTATTTTTACTTTTATTCTTCAACTTTTTTTGTAACCAATACTTCCAACTTATTAAAGATTATATAATCCCCAAATCCATGAGAAGTTGTAATTGTTTATTGTAGTCCAGGCAATTTTGGTGTAAATGAATATTGATTCTTTGGTTTTAAGCTGTCTGTGCCACTGGTATATACCTTTTGAGATGGGAGACACAATTTTTATTCATATTATCAGGATCAGTATCCAAGAATATCAGATGAATCAGTATGCAAATTTATAACTAATTTTCCTGTTCAAATATGTGGAACATAGTTGAATTCCTAGTTGGCATGTATGAGCCCCACAGAAATTGGAAATGAGCTCTGTTAGGAACACCCAAAAATTTTCCCCAAAGATCTGAGGCTTCTGCTGAGATGATATATTGTCTCAAGACAATTTCATAATATTAGGTTGAGCAATTTCTCAGCAGTTTTCTTACTCTATGACTTACAGCTAGGGAAGATTCTACTTTAGTATGGTTGATGCAATCTTTGGCCCTCTCATGTTGAGTACTAAACCACATTATTTTCGAAAGATTAGACTCTGTTATTAGGTTAGTGGGAACTGGAGTATTTTTTTGGTGAAAAAAATCAAATTAATCACTGAGAATAGGGTTTACTCATATTAGGCCTGTGTCAATGTCCTGCTTTTCTCAAATAAAGTGTGTGTGTGTTGGGGTGGGGGAGGCAAAACAGCTATATTAATCTCAGTGCTAACCAAATTCAATGTAGAGAAGCCATTTTTAAAAGAATATTCTTGTATCAAAAATAAACAAGGCTGTTGGTCTGTTCTGGGAAGGGATTAAGAAAAAAAACCTCAACCTCATAGACACAGACAGCAGTAAGGTAATTACCATAGGGAAATGGGAATGGGGGCAGGTAGAAGAGGGTAAATGAGGAATAAATGATGATGGAAGGAAACTAGCCTTGGGATGGTAAACACACAATCTAATATACAGATGATGTATTATGGAATTCTACACTTGAAACCTATATGGTTTTATTAACCAATATAACCCCAATAAATTCAATAAACAATAAAAAATAAGGCATATCAATCTAAACGTTTGATACATGGGGAGGCTTATTTGAAATGAGACCTGATACAGATCAATTTCCCAGCTCAGTTCTGGAGTGTAATATTTATCTATGGTTTCCTCCATATTTAATGTCATAAGGCTGGTTTGTGTTTTGAAAACTGTTATGAAACATCAACCAATGCATAGTTACATAAGTTGGAACCATGTCTATGATTGTGACCTGTTCTTGTGACTTGGCCTAGAACATTTTATTAAGAAGTCTTATCTGTTAGCTGCCATTCCTCTGAGGAGCAACAGTATGTATATATTCCCTATTACTCCAGCATGATGATTTTGATCTGTACTTTTTGCAACATTTTTGTATTTTTAGTTTATTTCACAGCTAGATATTTATAGGCAAAGATACAATAGGTTTCAGCTTCCTCTGAAAACCATTGTGTCAATGTTCCTAAGCTTCAACCAGAGTAGAAAGAGGAAATGCTCTGGGGATCAGAAGCACTCTGATTTGACCTAAGCTCATGAAAAAAGGAGCAAAGCAAGATAATTTGAGTATACTTTGTCTTCAAGGCCTTATTTTTCTCTGGACTCTCTTCTGTAGGGAACAAAAGCAAGCCAGCTTTTGTAGGCTACAGGGCATATGTCAGAATTTAGAACTTTGTTTTTATTTTATTTTATAGAGCTTTGTTTTTAATGTATCATCTGAAAGTTTAGCATTAGTAAAGTGTAATAATTTAAGTATTTATTTTAATAGGGCCAAAAGTCTAACTCTACTTCCTCCAAAAGCCCCAAAAGATCCCAAACATGGTATATTTCATTAACAGAAATATTTTTAAAAAGAAAAAAAATTGTGAACACTAGTATGAACTGTCTGAATTGGCTCCATATGTGTAGGTCAGAGTTAAAAATTCATTGGGGGTCAGATTTCTTTTTGGTCAACCTCCAGCTGACCTGCTTCCTGCCCATTGTCAATGAAAATACATTCACCCAGCACTCTGACTCCTCTAGGTGATTAATTGTTGGAATAATTGGCTACAGTGGTCTTCACAAGACAATAGTCTAATGCTACTTTCAGTGGAAGATGTAATTAACTGCGTCAGCCTATTTTTTTCTTCTTGATCTCATCTGAAGCTCAAGAGTTGGCCCTTTGCCTCCATTCAGTGCACAATATGTTATCCATTTAGGAAAATCTAATGGTTAAAAACACTGTTGGGTTTTGTTTTGTTTGTTTTTTGTTTGTTTGTTTTTTGTGAAAAGAAAGGAAGCCAGTCCGAAAAGAGAACTTGTTTTTTGAATGTTGTTGATTCTCCTTCATAATCAGCTTAAGAGCCAAATACCTCTCTGGTTTTTTAAACCATAGCTCAGTGGGAAATATTCCTTTGGAGTACCCTCCTGGATTGTCCTATTATGAAAAAATTGTGTTTTTAATGTTGAAACTCAAGAGGGGCTCTCTGAGATATAAGGTACACATGGTGTAAGAATGATGTGTTGCAAATATGTAGTTTAGTATACCAAGAAACATAGAGTCATAGGTGTCCAGTTGTGTCAGAGGAGGGAGAAGGAAAAAAGCTTATATAATGTTTCTTTGTGGTTAGGTAGAACTGAATACTGGCAAGCACATAAACCTCTTCATAAGCCCTGTTGAATCTTCTTAACCTCAGCTGTGAGGCTCAGAGGTATGTTTATACAGGGAAGAGAAACTGTATAGCCAAGTTACAGAGTGAACCAGTGTCTGAATTGGAAATAGAACTCCTTGCTTCCAATGCTGTGTTAAGTCCCAGCACCACACCCTCACTGCTAGACAGCAAAGGTGCTGTGTGTTCAAACAAGGGAAAGCTATGAATAGGGCCTTAGTGGCAGTTTCCCATGCCCTCTCTTCAGGATTGAGACTGTAATGCTTTCTTGTCTGTGGTCCTTTCTCTCCCACAATATTTGATTACTCAAAGCAGCAAAGCAGAAGTATCAGGCATTTGCAGACTTCCTGCTGTGGGTATAGTGCATACATTCTGGGAGACATAAAACTGGATGGAAAACTGAGGAGACAGAGCTCACCTATTTCAAACACACCATCTAGGGCAGTGCAAAATAATACATACTCAGTGAGCTAGAAGCATGCTGTGTAAATGGGTCACTATTGGGCAGACTGGAGGAACTCTGGGCAGGGTAAAAAGGCTTCTATTATGAAAGCATGTTCCAAATCAAATAAACTTATTGGCAGTACTTATTATAGAAGGCAGGTGCAAGCAAATCACAGTGAATGAAGAAGCTTGGCTTTAATGTTGGGTTTTGTAGTCCCATAATTCTTTTAGATGGTACAACTATGTTAGATGGATATTTTGTACTGTTTTTATTTCTTTCAAAAATTAAAAAAGATCTCAACTAATGGGTAGTGACTTGGGGTGTTAAAAATAGTATATAAAGTGGTTTAAGCAGTTGACAAGTTCACCATTCTTTTTTGGTTTCTGCCATCCCATTGGTGAAACAACTTGCAGTAACTTGGGTCTACAGCTCCCAAAATATGGTATGAAATCCGTTGACTGATATTTTCTAGCCTCTTCTTGTATTTTTCCAGTCAGTTTCAGTGGTTTTAAGCATAGTGATTGCATACTGTACTTCTTCCTGAGAAAATGCAAATGATTGAGATGAAGCAAATACGGAAGATGGAATTGGAGTAATTGTGACATAGAAATAGTTCCCAAGGCCTTGAATACAAATTAGATGGCAGCACTGACCTCTCCTCAGCAACATTGTCTTTTATTTCACCATTTCTTCCCTCTTTCTCTCAATTCTCCTGTTTTTCTTTCTCTGCTCCTTCTTTTCCCATCTCCTATTCTGCTCTCCCCACCTATTTTTACTTGTTTCTCATCTGGCTTTTTCCCCCCGTCCTGGACCTTGTTTGGTCTAGGTTCTTGCTTCTGTATATCAACGTTGCTTCTGGCAAATTTTAGCTGGGCTTATGAGATAAAATGGTCAGGAAGGAATATGATCTTAGTGCAGTGTTAGGCTCAGGGGAAGCACTTCATAAAGTTTTGTTACATAAGAATTTAGGAATAGCCAGTTTCCAATTTTAAATTGAAAACTATAGCTATTAAAAATGACAACTTTTTGCTTTGCACCCTGTATTCTCCCCCTATAGGCACTGCAGTGAGTGAATTTTTTTCCCCTCAAACCAGTTTTTTCTCAAGCTAAACACTGAAGTGACTTCAGACCTCTATAACTTTGACAGGCTCCCCCCTCCACTCCCTTCTTTATTGTATAAAAAGGATCTTTGACCTGTTCCCTGGAAGTTGGAAGTAAAGAGTGATGTTAGAAGGAATCACTTCAAAGAAATGCCTTTCACAGTTTAAAATATAATCATGTAAAAATCCATTACTGGCTATACCAGAGGACAAAGACTACTTTTATTCCGTATCCTCCTCATTGAAAAGAATTCATTCAGCTGCTACTTGTCTATAGTGTATTATAGAACATTCAAATGACAGTCCTTGTCCAATGGCAGCTGTTGATCTAGGAGGTTAGTAAAATTTCTATATGTACCTTTGAATGATGTTGGCCCAGATACCCAACAGAGATGATTAAGTCAATGACTGCCACATGTACAAGTGGTGGCGGGCAGAGGACATGTAACTGGCTAGGTCAGAATACATTTCACTTGTATTTACCAGAAAAACTTTATTGATCAGGGCCATCTCAGGAGCTGAAGGCATAGAAATAAGTGATGGAATGGGCAGTGGGAGAGGGAGAAAGAAGACATCCTAGGCTTAGGGTTTAGCATGAGAGAAGCTTGGAAAGGGGACCACAATCTGCAGGAAGCAAATGCTGAGATCATTATGTGAATTATCTCTCTAGAAAGACAATGTAATACAGTGAAAAAACTTTTAGCTGGAAGCTTTAATTAACGGAGGAATCCCTGCTCTGAACTTCTGTTTTAGAAGAAAAAGATAAATCAACAGTTGACTTCAGGAGTTGAGTCTCAACTATTTTAAGAACATATCCTGGAGGTCCCATATCTACTTGTGGTCTTGTGCAATAGAACTAATACTCAGACAATGAAGTTTAGCAGTATTGGAGAGTAGACAATACAATTTAGAGTATCTTAATCATCTGGTTAGGAATAAACAAAACCTGAATTCTGGTTCTGACTATATCATTTGTACATTCTTCCAATTCTCACAGTATTGTAATTCTAAATTACATAGGCCACGGTTTCTGCTCCTGTGATATGCTGATCAATTCTTCTCTTGCGTACCTTATGGTGTTCTTGTGGGAATCAAATAAAACATGCTTTTGAAAGCTAAAAATTGCCATATAAATTTCAAAGTATTAGTGTTGTTTTAACTATCAGAACCTCTTCTCCTCCCCTCACCACTCCCTGCCTTGGTCTGTCATGTAACCACACTACCTCATTCCTGTTAATTGTAATGTTTTAGTACTGCACTTATTGTATTCAGTGTGATCTCCCACCACTGTAACAGACTCTTATAGTAATTTTTAACATATGGTTGATGTTCAAGAGATACTTGTCAAACCAAATTGAATGTTATTTCCAATCTGGGTAGACAGAATATCTTTTACTCCACAGAAATAATGGATGGAAGGCAGACTTGATGATTCATTCCATCTTGTCTCCCATAGGAGGAAAACATTTCTTACTAGCCCCTAGTCTGAGAGTGGTGAACCCTGCAGCCAGCAGGCCTCCTGAAATAAATCCATGGGTGACAGAAGATTCAGTGACTTCCAATTCCAAGTTTTAAATTCAAGCCTCAGACCCAGGTTGGGCAATGCTACTGCCAATAATACTTGCATTGTTGATGATTCCTTCAAGTATAATCTGAATGGTGCTGTCTACAGTGTTGTATTCATCCTGGGTCTGATAACCAACAGTGCCTCTCTGTTTGTCTTCTGCTTCCGCATGAAAATGAGAAGTGAGACAGCTATTTTTATCACCAATCTGGCCCTCTCCGATTTGCTCTTTGTCTGCACTCTACCTTTCAAAATATTTTACAATTTCAACCGCCACTGGCCTTTTGGTGACACTCTCTGCAAGGTATCTGGGACGGCATTCCTTACCAACATCTATGGAAGCATGCTCTTCCTCACCTGTATTAGCGTGGATCGTTTCCTGGCCATTGTCTATCCCTTCCGATCTCGTACCATTAGGACCAGGAGGAATTCTGCCATTGTGTGTGCTGGAGTCTGGATCCTAGTTCTCAGTGGTGGTATTTCAGCCTCCTTGTTCTCAACCACTAATGTCAACAATGCAACCACCACCTGCTTTGAGGGCTTCTCCAAACGTGTTTGGAAGACCTATCTGTCCAAGATCACCATATTTATTGAAGTTGTTGGGTTCATCATTCCTCTGATATTGAATGTCTCTTGCTCTTCTGTGGTGCTAAGAACCCTCCGCAAGCCTGCCACACTGTCTCAAATTGGGACCAATAAGAAAAAAGTGCTGAAGATGATCACAGTGCATATGGCAGTCTTTGTAGTCTGTTTTGTACCCTACAACTCTGTTCTCTTCCTGTATGCCCTGGTGCGCTCTCAAGCCATTACCAACTGCTTTTTGGAAAGATTTGCTAAGATTATGTACCCAGTCACCTTGTGTCTTGCAACTCTTAACTGTTGCTTTGACCCTTTCATCTATTATTTCACCCTTGAGTCCTTTCAGAAGTCCTTCTACATCAATACCCATATCAGGATGGAGTCCATGTTTAAGACTGAAACACCTCTTACCACAAAGCCTTCCCTTCCAGCTATTCAAGAGGAAGTCAGTGATCCAACAACACATAATGGTGGTGAGTTAATGCTAGAATCCACCTTCTAGGTACGAGAACTGTCTTTAGATTCAAATATGGTTTTTCCTATGATTATTTTCCTATGCTATGAATAAGAGGAAAGATTTGGAGCTAATGATACTGAGAATAGATTAATGTACTAAATACACTCAAATACATTTATTTGAACATTTACTCTATGTGCTGTTTTGTTCAATAATTGTAGGTCAGATCTAATTACAACCACCAAAAGTAATTGCCAAACTCTTCTGCTGGGTTGAAATTTTATCGTATCACATTATATAAGTGGCCAGTGGCCTTGACTTTAGTGATACAAAGATTACTTTCAAACTTTTAAAAAGATACTTTCCTTCTGAAAATATTTGGTAATTAGGTTGGGCCTATAAATATAGAACAAATTCAGGGATTATTTAAAAAAGACATTTTGTGTTACTACTGATATATTTTTGTTTGAATTGTTTTCTTTGAATTTTCATCAAGTTTATTTTAGCATAAGAACATATTTTAGCCCAAAATAATTAATAAAAAATGTATCCAATTTAAAAGAGCTGGCAATTTATTGTATATATGTTGAAAGCAGAAACATAAATTGTGTTTGCATAAATGTGGATGAAAAGAAACAGAAAATTAACTGAATTTACACATTTTCAGTCAGCAGCAGTGCCAGTTTTTTAAAAAAATGTCTTCCTTTTTTATACTACATTAAGAATTTCATATGAAACTTCCAATCCAGAAAGCTGCTGAATTTGTGCCTAAGGACAGGTACACAATGGAAAATCACATAAAACAACAAATGTCCATTAAAAGTCTAAGCAATACCAACATGTTTTTCTTAGAATTTTCAATTTCTAATATTTCTTTTGAGGGACTGGTTTCTATAAAATATTCTCCATATGAAGTTTTGGAGCACAATGCAGCCAGAAAGCTGCTTCATTTGTGTATAGGTTAGGAGCACAGTGAAAAAAAATTAACAAAGTAATAACAAAAAATAAAACCAATGATAAGCTTTCTTAAAATTTGCATTAATTATTTGGGGGTGGGTGGGTAAGAGAGATTTGTAACTTTAAATTGCTTATTTTTTTCATATTAAATTTTAGAACACAGTGTAGCCATAGCTGCTGAATTTTCCCCAGGTTGGGAACATATAGAATAAAATACATAATGTAAACCAAACCTATACAAACAGAAAACCCAGAAAAACTACAAAACAATAGGAACAGCAAAACGTCTTTCTAACACTTGCATCAATATTTTATTTATTTTTTGAGGATCTTTAAATTTAAAAATTTGTATGAAATTTTGGAGTACAGTATAGGTAAAATTCTGCTGAATTTGTGCCCAAGTTAGGAGTGAATTTGAAAAAAATAAAGCAAAACAACCCCCAACAAACAAGAAAAGCACAAATAATTTAGAACTTGTATTTTTTTGAGCTTTTGCAAAACTTGCCAAATACTATAACTTTGATATGATGCTTTGGTTCGAACTGCAGGTAAGCACCCAGTAAAAAAAATGAAAATCAATATTTTTTTAAAAAGAAGAGGAAATATTTTTTGTAACTCACTAAAGCAACAAAAATCATTAAAAACTTTACTATTTATTGGATGAATCATAAATTTAAGAATATTAAGGCTTGTAAAGAAAACTGAGCACAATATAGCTTGAAAGGTGATATATTGTACTTATGTCAGAAGCAATGGAAATAAATACCACTTATGTATACCACACACACACACACACACACACACATAATTAAAACACTGCAAAATGACAAAAATATCTTTAAAATGGGCATTAGTCAATTTTTAAAATATCTGGATGATATATCAATTTTAATTGCTAAGACTGAAGTAAGACTGCCAGTAACTGCATTTTGTTAGCTGCTGAACTTGTGCAAAAGATTAAAATATTAAAAACCATAAAACAACAGCCAAACAGTAAAAAATTTAAAGCAAATATTTTAATCCCCCCCTTTTTCCCCTTTCTGATGGTACATAGATTTAAAAATATTAAGATTTTAAGTAAAGATTTGTAAGAATTATGTAACTTTAAGAAATTCTAAAGCTGTTCTTGAATTAAGAACTAATTGAAAAAAATGCTAAAATAGAATAGTAATAAAAATGAATTCTCAAAAATCACATTACTTTTTCCCTCATTATCTAAACTCCTAAAAATAATCATGAATTATATTGTCTTATGAAAACAGGTTATTGATAAAATATATGACATTAGGTTCATTTAGATTCAATTAGGTTAAGTTAGGTTTAGTTCAGTTGTTAGGCTATGTTTTAAGATCAAATTAGCAATCAAAGTATGAATAATCTTTTTGTTTTTTCTGGTATTTTTTTTTTTCAATTTCTTGTAAGTATAAACTATATGTGAACTTTTGTTTGTGCCCTTGGCTCTAAAAATTATGAAATTTTAGGGTGATGACACCAAATGGGATATGTTAACCAAGCTGACATAAAATATATTAATAAGCCAGTTTCCTTTTTTGTAACTTCTTTATTTAGCTTTGTTTAATTTTCCATATTTCAATTTATTTTTATTAATTTCCATTTTATAGTTATTATAACTTGGAATAATAAAAACATTTGTCATATGAAAAATGTAATCAAAATTTAATGTATAACTAAATGTAAAATTGACTTTTATTTTACATTTAAAAACAAAATCAGTCATTCAGTTATAATTGCAACTTGGATTTTAATTGCTTACTAAATGTAATAAAATACATTTGGATTATCTGGCAGTTATACTTTGTTCGACTGTTTATTCCACTGTGTCTTCATTTGTGACATTTTAAAAGAGGCATCTTTCCATTATCTTCCCTCCATCCTTTAAGAAAGAACTTTTTAAAGTATATTTGATCAGAAATAAATTCCTATTTATTTTTTGAGGCTGTCTGGAGACAAATGCGGAATTGCAAATGGAAAATCCCTGGGTTATCTTTCAGGGACTAAGCTAAAAGAATGAATACCACCTTCTCCGATTTTTTTATTTTGATATATTTGGGGTTTCTAGACAAACTGACGCTTGAATCTGGTTTCTTGGATTTGATGAAATATCCTAGGACAACTGGGAGACCTGAGGAAAGTCAGAGCAAACAGATTATCTGACAATGAGATGATTTAAGAGCTGGGTGACTGACTGGTTAATAACTAGAACAGGTGGTGGTCCCAGGGTGGCAGCACAGGGAATTCTTATTCATTGTCTTCATGCCTTCTAACTCTCAGGGAAAGCAATATTAACATCTCATAAACCACATTGCATATTGATTCCCCATTAGATAACAGCAAATGCTGCTTTTTTCTAATCTGACTAGCATGATCAGCCCTAGGCTATGTTTAAAATTATAGAAACTTTGTCATTAGTGACCTTCTAGGCCAGGTCCTCCAAAAATGGGGATAAATGTCATTTGTTTCACATCTCTATTAATCTCCCTCCACCTCTGTCTCCACGCCCAGATTCCTGCACCTTATATTTGCTATGGTTTCCCAAACTTTCTGTTTTTCTTGTGGCCCTTTCCAACTTCTCTCTCTACCTCCTATAGAAATGCTGCTTCTCTGTGGACCAAAAAAATACATAAACCTCTGTCAAGACAGTGACAGGTTGAATAGATTTACAGTAAGGTGTGAATGATTGATCCATCTACCCACTGCTTTTAATCCCTCCTTTGGTGTTTGAATCTTAGATAAGGAGTCTAGTTAATTCAGTTGACTGAGGAAGGTTAGGATGGGGAGAGATGGCTGCTCTAGGACATGGTAAATCATCTCTTGAGCCTCAGCCTCCCTCACCTCATGGTAAAGCCTCTGCACTGCAACTCTCTTGTCCTGTTCTCTTAACATTACCCTGCATACCACTGAGTCCATAACCTACACTACCTTTCTCCAGACATTTTTCTTTTCAAAAACTGTCCATGGTGACTTGGAACCTGTGTTCTCATTTCATATAGTCTTGAGTTCTTTTGCCCAGATATCTCCTAATTCTTGTGGACTTGGTGAAATGGCTCTTAAACTAGAAAGCATTTTGTTTCAACAAGGAAACTAAGCAGAGTCCACTGAGTAAAAATTTCCTCTGTATTCAGGTTTCTGAAGAACTATGTTTTTCCCACTGGTTTGCTTCTTTCTCTCTCTCATCTACAAATGAAACTCTTCTCTCCCAAACATCCAGAGAGGCACTGAATCCAGGAAGATAGAAGAATAGAGCCAGTGTAAGGTCTGTGAGGAAACCCAGACAGGCTCTGATATTGGGGAGACTTGTGTGGCCATGGCAACTAGTTTTCCTTTACTTATCATGGAGGAGCTCCAACCATATAGATGAGAAGCTTGTAACAAAGGGTCCTCACTCCTTCCATTTCTAGTGCAGGGTAATCTGCTCAGCTTTTTACCTTTCTCATGTGGGTGGTACCCAGGCCAAAACTATGGGTCACATTCCTCATTTGGGATCCTGGGACTTCTGAACTAACCCCAGTTCAAAGCAGTTTGAGATTCTTGGAAAATAATTTCACTAGAAGTATATTTAGGAACCAAGAATTTATTTATTTACTTATACAAAAATTTTTTGAGCATCAACTATGTACCAGACACTCTTCTAGGCTCTAAAGATGCAGTGGTGATAACAAGGGACAAAATGCTGTTTTATTCTAGAGTCAGAGCAGGTGAAGCCCAAAACAAATGATTAAACAAGTTTAAAAGTAATATGAGAGATGCTAACTAGTGCTATAAAGCAAAATAGATCAATGTAAAGGGGAAAACATACTTGAAACTAAATCTCAGGCTCCACAGCAGGACTGATATAAAACTGTAAAGATGGAGGATTCCAAGATGTTGGCAGATTAAGTGGAAGCTACACTGATACTCTCCAGGATCAAACTGGAATTGCAACTAAATTATAGAAAGCCCACCCTGAATAATCAACTGAAGACTAGCTGGAGAGCACCCTCATAACCAAGGACCTAAAGCAAAGACTGCATAAAGACTGGTAGGAAATGGAGATACCTGAGAGGGCTGCCTGGGCTCCCACAGGCAGCAGCTGAATGTCCAGAAGGATACCTCAGCTGTGGGGGTTCCCACTGGGAACTCTTGGGCCTAAACACCATACTGGGCTCTCTAGCTCAGAGAACTAGAACTGAGAAAGGGGCCCACATTATATCTGGATGTGAAAAGCAGCAGGGTTTCTATCTGTCAGGGAGAGACAGCTGGAAATGCAAGCACCCTCTTAAAAGGTCAATGCACAAAGTTTTGTGTGCATCCAGTCACCTTGGGTTCCAGCAGAGGGACAGCAGAGTGGACTAAAGAGGTGTGAAGAGAATCCAGGAATGCTGGCTCTGGAGATAGAGCTTGGATGGTGCCCATTTGGACTCCTGTGCTGAGTCATTCCCCCATATTGCAGAGGACATCTTTCGCAGGCAGGCCTTTGCCAGCCAGGCAGTTTTTGCCTCGGGGGGGAGCAAAGGTTTTCAGTGGGAGAGATTTTCACCCATTGAAAACCTCTCACCCCACCCTGTGGAGTTTACTTCTTGCTGTGGTCTACAGCCTGAGGCTCATTAAGAGTCTTTGAATAACAATCAGCTTCTGGATGCTCTGAGCCTTTGCCTGGTCTGCTTCTGGACCCAGGACTTGGAAAAGCAGACGTTGGTGAACATCTTGATGCTTCCCAATGCACCCAGCTCCAGCGGAGGGAGTCACAACCTATGGATTGCTGAAAGTTTTAAATAAGGTACCTAAGCCCAGTCAGAAACAGTATCTGACATTGACCTGCACCAGAGATCATCCAAAAGACTAGGTCCTAGCAGATCTACCTAATACATAGAAACAAATCAAAACAGACAGCCAAAATGAGGAAACAACAAACAAAAAGCCATAAATAAAAGAACAAGAGAATTCTTCAGAAGAGGAGCTAAATGAAATGGAGATAAGTAATCTATCAGATATAGAGTTCAGAATACTGATCATAAGAATGCTCAACAGCATGAGAAAAAATATGGAAACTCTGAAGAAAATTAAGACTGACATAGGAGAAATAAAAAATATATTAGAGGGAATAAACAGCAGATTAGGGGAAGCTGAGGATTAGATCAGCAAACTAGAAGACAGGGTAGAAAAAATCACTCAACTAGAGAACAGAAAAAAATAATTAAAAAACAGGAGGACAGTTTAAGGGAGCTGTGGGACAACATGAAATGTAAGAATATTCACATCATAGCAGTGCCAGAAGAGGTAGAATGTAAGCAAGGGTTAGAGAACCTGTTTGAAGAAATAATAGCAGAAAACTTCCCTAACCTGGTAAAGGCAAAAGTCACACAAGGTCAGGAGGCACAGAGAGTCTCAAGAAAGAAGAACCCAAAAAGGCCCACACCCAGACACATCATAATTAGAATGTCAAAAATTCAAGACAAAGAGAGAATCTTAAAAGCAGCAAGAGAATAACAATCTGTTACCTACAAAGGAGCTCCCATAAGGCTGTCAGATGATTTCTCATGAGAAACTCTACAGGCCACAAGGGAATGGCATGAAGTATTCAAGGTAATGAAAAGCAAAGATCTGAAACCAAGACCACTTTATCCAGCAAGGCTGTCATTCAAAATAGATGGTGAAATAAAGAGCTTACCAGACCAAAAAACAAGACTAAAGGAGTTTATCACCACCAAACCAGCATTGCAAGAAATGTTAAAGGGACTGCTATAATAGGAAGTGGAAATAGAAAGAGAAACATAGACATTAAGAATTAAAATAGCGCCCAGCCAGGTGTGGCTCAGTGGTTGAGCATCAACCTAGGATCCAGGCGATCAGGGTTCGATTCCCGGTCAGGGCACATGCCCGGCTTATGGGCTTGATCCCCAGTTGAGGGTGTGCAGGAGGCAGCCAATCAATGACTCTCTCATCATTGATGTTTCTATCTCTCTCTCTCTCCCTCTCCTTTTCTCCCTCTGAAATCAATAATGATATATTTAAAAAAAAAAAAGAATTACAATAGCAATGCATAAGTACCTATAAATAACAACTTTAAATATAAATGGATTAAATGCTCCAATCGAAAGACATAGGGCAGCTGAGTGGGTAAGAAAATAAGACCCAAACATATACTGTTTACAAGGTACCTACCTCAGAGCAAAAGACTCACAAAGGTTGAAAAAAACACTTCTGGAGGGCTTTAAGGGAACAATTGACAGCAATACAGACCCAGTAGGGGACTTTAACACTTTATTGATTTTACTGGATAGATCTTCCACACAATAAAATCAACACTGAAATGGTGACTCTAAATGACACACTTGATCAGATTGATTTAATTGACATTTACAGAACTTTTCACTCCAAAGCTGCAGAATACACATCCTTCTCAAATGCTCATGGGACATTCTCAAAGATAGACGACATGTTAGGACACAAAATAAGTCTCTACAAGTTCAAGATGATTGAAAACATATCAAGGATCTTCTAGGACGTTTACACTGTGGAATACTATGCAGCTGTAAAAAAGAAGGATCCCTTACTTTTTGAGACAGCATGATGGGACTTG